ATTCTCTAGACTGAATTATAAGATGAACCACCACAATATTACAATTTCAATTGTATTCTTCATTTCACTTGTTTGTGTTTGCTCGCTTGCATGTCCTGCATAGCTATAATAAATACTTAAGTTGTTGGTCAAGACACTTTCCATCTGTTGAAGGCAAATGCCTTCCCAGATGTAAAAAAGTAGAAAACATAAAATTCAGTTATAACTGCCAAAACAAACATTATTTACGCTATTATGGCCCCTGTTAAAAATGTTTGTAATGTTATCTACTGTAAGTTGGTCGAAGGAATGCCTCCTCATCCAGAAGCTGACCGAGCAGACCCGAGCAGCCGAGTGCTTCCGCGAAGCACACACAATGGCGACGTCAGAGTTCCCGTTAGCAAGCAAATCTAAATCTCTTCGGTCAAAATGTCCGGTCAAAATAATTTCCCTTTAGCGCAATACCGCTTCAGTTGCGCCACTTATGTGACAGACAAGAAGAGTATGTGACAGACAAGAGTAGTCAATCCTAATGTGTAACACTTAATGTGGAGAAAGAGATGTGCTGTATGGGTTGATTGTGCGTTGATCTGTTGCTAATGCCTCGGGGTTCCGGTGGGCATGTAAACAAATGCATAATGCTGCGCTATACTTTGTGGCCTCACCCAGTTGCATAGCGACACTTATTGTTTAGGTGTCTTTTAATAAGCAGGTAGTTATATCATTAGCTAGAACTAGCTGGATCTGATCGATATGGACATAAACGCGAGTGAAGTCTAATCTGACGGGACAGAGAGATCAGCTGCTGCGGACGAGTCGACACGCAGCGCTGCATGATCACATGCAGCGGTGAGCGGACAAAACACACACTCATACTTGCCAACCCTCCCGATTTTCGTGGGAGACTCCCGATTTCACTGCCCTCTCCCGGTTTCCTCCCGGGGTCTTATTTCTCCCGCATTTCTCCCGATTTCTGACAAAATCAGATTTACTCAGGACTGTTTCCACTCGGACTTTAATACAGCTACACTATTGTTTGGTTTCCATGGTAACACGTCTCTTTAGTAGCGCGCGCAACTGAAAGTCTGAGAGGGTCAGGCAGATAGCAGAAAACAGAACAAGAATCGACAACTCGACCCGCTGCTCACTCCTTTCCTATCAAATACAGGTCCAGCCCACACATATGCTCCGCAAGGCAGTGCACTTACAACTACAATAAGCATGTTAATGTTAATCTACAGCTCCGGCGATCCACTAGCACCCCCCCCCCGGTTTTGAAATGCTCCCGATTTCTGAGGTCTCAAGGTTGGCAAGTATGCACACTTCAGGTTAGAATATCACACATAGCTATTTTAATTACCTCTCAAACTATAGTAACTAGTTATAGATATGTTTAGTTTTACTGTCGGGTTACTCATTACTGGATCCGCGAGCTGCATGATACTGGCATAATAGATTGCCCGATCGGGCCACCAGCAGGTGAGGCTTCATTGCCCGAGCTAAATACTAGATGTCCCCGTGCCATCGGGCAGTCCTTAATGTCGAGCCCTGATTAGGCCAACCGGCTAACTCAAACATATCCAGGTTAGGTTGAACCAGCTTCGTAGTACAGGCCCCTGGACAGAGTTCTTTATCATAGGTCTAAGAGACTCTCAGAGTCTCTCCAGTAATCAGGTCCACATGCCAATAGTGATGGATTCCACTCCAGATCTACTCTGCCTCAGACAACACACACATACAAATCAGAATTGACATGCCCAAGTCTTTCTTGATCAATAAACATTTACTCTTGAGAAGAGGCTACGGCTCAAGCCTGTCTTTGTAATCAAATCACACTGTCTGTTGATACATGAGAAAATGCATAAATGGGATAACCTCTCTAGATGCTTTCTGCCAACGCACATAAACAAAATCTCCCTTTCTCACATCAACGTATATTACTTTTTAGTTTTAGTCCAGACTCTTGCAAGGATAGGCCTCGATCGCTCCCAGCAACTGAGCAAATGCATGTAGAGAGCGACGCAGTGATACAGCTGCCAAAATCACAAGGATGCTAATGACATTGCTGTGAAGTAAAGACATCATTTTAATCAATTAGCTGAAAGCATTTGCGTGGCTGATTGAGCCAAAAAGGAGAGCAAGAAATGGCCTTCCTCCTCAGGTTGGATGAGGGGGAAGTTTCCCCTATTTCAGCCATGACAGATGTTTGAGCTGGCCTTGACGCTGGCGGACTGCTAAAACTTAGTAGAGAAGACATTTGATATTTCACATTCGACCTCAGTGCAGATCCACAGCGAGAAATGTATTACATGTTTGACTGCCGGACTATGAGAGAACACCCTCCTGCTGTGACACAGATTGGAGTTTTAATAGTGAAGGGCCTTTTTTGCAGGTCCAGCAATTTGTGTTATCTGCTGCCGTCATATTTTACATATCAGTGTGATTTTTTATGTTCAATATATTCATCTCATACAATTCCAACAATTATTTTAACAAGAGGAACAGATTACAGCCAGGAAATTGAGTTGATTTAGTTCCTTGATTTAGCCTTCCATAATTCTGAGTTCCCCTGCTTTTCACTGGCCCTGTTTGACCGCTGCTGCTATCTCACCCATGCAGCCAGGGGGGAATAGATAGTGTATCATGCCTAAAAGCAGGGGGATCCTTTTCTTTATTCACTTACTCCCCTGCAGTCAGGTCAGGGGTCAGAGCCAGTTACAGGCCAGTAGTCCTGGAGCTGGTTGAGATTCAGGTCACTCTCAAGGACATTTTCATTACAGTGTCTCTTTCAGAGTTCTCCGGTATAAAGGTTGGTAACCCTGCTCTGTGTGCCACCTGGATGCCAAAAAGTCACCTCTAAAACCCTTGAGCTATATTTAACATAAAAAACACACCAACTAAATGATTAATTTCAACAAGTTATTTCTAAGGCTTAGGAAAGGTCAATCAATACTCGTGAAACATGAGCTTATCTCTCAGTCCGAAACCAAAGAAGTCAATGACCAGTGTTGGGACTAACGCGTTACAAAGTATTTTTGGCGCGTTATTATAATTTTTTTAATTCAGTAACTCAGTTAGCGTTACTACATGGTGCGTTACTCCGTTATTTTTTTTATATAGTCTCGGCCCCCAGACGTTGGTGGAGCGGCGCCAAACAGCGAGGCGAACAGAGATGAGAACTTGTACTTAAGTACAGTACTGAGTAAATGTACAGATACTTCCCTGTGTCACATGCGGAGACTCGCTGTGGCGTGTTTAACTACAAGACTATCATGGCGGCGGCTGCAGAGCTCAAGTCGAGTTTCTCCGCCTGGAGAATATTCTCACTATTTCTCGACTTTTGTTGAGCACAAAGAAAAGAACGTTTTAGTTAGAATGTAAGTTGTTGGTCTTGGCGGGATCAAAAGATCCTGTCTACTGCCCACAACACAGCAATTCAAATATGTTGAAACATCTGCAGAAAACAACCATGCTGGGACGAAGCCTGTAGGCCTAGCTACACAGACCCAGCAGACTCATCCGATCGCCACTCCCACCGTCCACCTAAGGCAACAGCGGGGCTGGATTTTAACCGAGGGACTGCTAGCCAGGGAAAAGTTGATAAAGCCATTGCACGCGGTATGTTGTAGAACACATGCAGGCTATTTCTACTAATTCTATTGCTATTTCTTGATCAACAGATTGTATTATTCTCCAATAGCAATAACAGTAGTGAAATGAAGGCTATAAGGGCATTAATGGGAAGCCTTTTTTTAAGTAACTAATGCGTTACTGTTCACAGTAACGCGTTACTTTTGGGGTGTAAGTAATCAGTAAAAGTAACTGAGTTACTTTTGAAAATGAAGTAACTGTAATGGTAAGCTTAGTTACTGTTTCCAGTAACTAGGCACAACACATGTCAATGACTAACGTGTGATGATATCAAAGTATGGGCTGATCCATAGACAATAGATAAATGGTTCAATGCAGTGGTATCCCAAATTTTTAATTGAATTCCAATGCGTGGTTTCACAAATGGCAGCAAAAAATGAGTTACCGTGCATCGGTGTGATTTCAGCATAAAGTCTACAAAACGCAAACAAAACTAGGACCACCAGGGTGGGTGGAAGAGGTCAGGAGGACGGGCTGGGCTGAGCAGGCCAGGAGCACAGCGGAGGGCCCGGAAGGGATCTCGGACGGCGGGGGCAAGCAGAGACCATGGTGGGGGTCTGGGTGGACGGCCCGGGGGCCAAGGCAGAGTCCATGGTGGGGGTACTCGGGCGGACGGCCCGGGGGCAGGGCAGAGTCCATGGTTGGGGTCTCGGGCGGACGCCCGGGGCCAAGGGCAGAGTCCATGGAGGGGTGAAGAGCCACAGGGGCAAGACTCAGGGGGCCGAGCATGAGGGGCGAAGGCAGCGGCAGGAAAGAGTCAGGCGGCCAGGGCCGAGGGCGAGAGGACCGGCCCGGCAGGAAGAGTCAGGGGGCCGGGTGCCCGAGGGCCAGAGACGCGTCACTCGGGGTGCGGGTCGAGGGGCGAAGACGCGGGCACTCAGGGGGACGGCTCTCGACGGGCGAGAGACGACAGCTCCGGAGGCCGGGCAGGAAACCCGGTGTCGGCGGACGAACAGGAACCGGAGCGGGGACAGGCTCGCTTCGGCGGTCACGGGGACCAGGCGTTGGCAGGATCCCCCACGGAAGAGGACCAGATTGCAGGACCGCCCCGGCGGAGACAGGTGATGGGCGGGCCACTCCAACGGAACCAGGAACAAGGGGTTGGCAGGTCCCCCGGCCAGAAAGGTTGTCGGCAGGACCCCCAGAGGTAAGCAGGCAGTAGGATTGGCAGGACCCCCGCAGGAGAGTAAGTTGCGGGACCTCCAACGGGACAGGACATAGAGTTGGCAGGAACTCTCAGCGGGACCCATCCAACGGAAGGGGACATAGGGTTGGCAGGACCCCGGGAAGAAGTAGTCGGGCGGGACCCCCAACGCGGAGCAGGACATGGAGTTGGAAGGGACGCCCGCAGCGGAAAGAGTTGTTGGCGTGGACCCTCCAAAACGACAGCAGGACATAGGGTTGGCAGGACCCCCGGCAGAAGAATCGTCCGGCGAGGCGACTAGAGGAGGGACTAGAGAAGGGACTAATGAGAAGGGACTAGGGAAGTGAACTAGAGGAGAGACTTGAGAAGGGAAATTGAGTTAGAGACTGGAGAAGAGACTGGAGAAGGGACTTGAGAAGGAATTGAGTAAGGGACTAGAGAAGGGACTTGAGTTGGGACTAGAGGAGGGAGCCTAAAGAAGGGACTAGAGAAGGAACCTAAAAGAAGGGACTTGGAAGGAACTAGAGGAGGGACTATGGCTGCTGGGGGCCCGGACAGTTGCGCTAGACTTTTTCAGCCTGCCGTCATTTGACTGAACAGGTCAACGCGGGGGGGAGGGAGAGGCACGGTCGTGAACTGTCAACGGGGGGGTGGGGGGGGGGGAGAGGCAGCAGTCGTGAACTGTCAACGAAGGGGGGCGGGGGCGGCACGGCCTCGTGGAAGCTGGTTTAGCGCCGTGTTTATGCACTCCACTGCACCTCCGCGGCGAGGTGCGCACTAGCGTTGAGCCAAAACTGCACCAGACATTTCAATGATTTGTAGGGCAAAGTTGGTTTGGAAAACAGGTGTCATTTCCTATTTTAGGCAGGCATGCTTAACCAAGCGCGGAGCCTCCGCTTGCGGGGAAACTTTGGCGGGCTGTTCCGGAGCTTGTTCTAAATCCGTCCAGAAATGACGGACTTGCTTTCAGAATTTTCCGTCATTGTTAAAAAAAATCGCGTCATCGACGGAAAATATTCGGTTAAGCGCGACCTCCTGGTGTTGAGAGATGTATCCACATAAGATCTCTTAAATTTTGCTCTCCCAAAGTGCACCAAAATTGATGCAATTTTAAATTTCAATATAAAAAGAAATCTTCCCGGGAAAGCGTGCCCCGGACCCTCCTAGAGGGGATATTAGGTCCACCCTCCCAGCTTTTTTTGTAAAAAAACAGCACTTTACCCGCTGGCTTACAAGGTTTAAATATGGCCTTGAGC